TGGAGTTCTGCTGGTGTGGTTGTTACACATTGGGCTGCAAACCAAAAGGTCAGCAGTTCGAAACCACTTCTTGGGATGTGCTTCTAAGCACTTCTTAGTTGTAGAAACAACCCACCTCCCTCCATCCCCCACCCTCAAGGCAGTTCTACCCTGTCCTACAGGGACACTAAGTCAGCATCAACTCCCTGGCAGGGAGTTTAGATTTAGTGAATCGAAGATTAATTCGTTCTTATGATATGTAGTTCACATGGTCCATTAGTACAATTGGACTAGTTATTTCCATGTGTGTTCCAATTTTCATTCAGATTTCTTTCCTATGAGAATGAATCTTAATAAAATGTCACTGGCCTTGTCAGCTGTGTAACAGGCCAAAAAAAAAAAAACAGTATTGGGAAAAGATCACTGAAGTTGCCCAAATTCTCTGGTCAAATTCTAAAGAACTAGATTCTTTACTTAACTGTAAAGACAACTGGTATCTTATGCGTCAAATGCATGGTTTAGAAATGTACTTTAGTAATAGCACATCTCTTGGGTGTTGTGAGTTATCAGAGGAAAAAAAATAAAGTTACATTCAATGGCAAACTTTTAACAGGAAATTGGTGCCTAAACCAAAACCTCAAGTTCATGTTCACTTTATTTTTCATCCGAGTGCCTTTAAGTAAACGGAGTCCCTTGGTAGTAGTTGGCTATAAGCTGGGCTGCTAACCAAAATGGAGAGATGGGGCTTTCTATGCCCGCGGAGTCACGGTCTCAGAAACCCACAGGGGCAGCACTACCTGTGCGATGGGGTAGACCTGGCTCAGAATTGACTCCATGTCCGCGAGTTTGGTTTGGGGCTTGGGTGGTGCAAGTCCCTGGATTGTTAACAAAACTTTGTACCCTCAGGGCACTTTGGAAAGAAGACCTGAAGATCGACTTTCCCCAAAACTGGTTATTGAAAACCCTACACTGCACCAACTGGAAGGCTTCATAGGGGCCTTGGGGGCCAGCGAGCTTATGTTAATAAGAGCGAACCAACTCGGACAGGGAGGGTGGGAATGGACGCACAGCTGGCGAGCATCAGCAGTGTCCCTCGATCAAAGCGGAGAAACCATGAGAAGGACAGTGTGCTATGAGATTCTACAACCCTGACCCGAGGGGTCACACGAGTAGGAGTCCATTCAACGACAGATGGTTGCTTTTTATATAAACAGGTTACAACCCCGTTTTTTATCTAACAACAATGCTATCATTTTCAGAGTACCGGTTCAGTTCCTTCTAAAGTATACTGAGATTATATGAATAAAAGAAATTGCAATTAAAACATTAGGAAACCACCTAAATGCCTATCTGTTAAGGGACTGGCTCAACGCCTTCTTATTCATTCTATGGATATAAAACAATATCAACAATATAGTACATCTATAAAAGATGTACTGATCTGGAAAGATACCCAAGACAGGGTAAGTGAAAAGTGGCAGGTAGCCCATGCAGTATGCCAGATGTCATGATCTAAATGGGGAAAATGAGAGTGCCAGGTTTTTGATTGCTGGCACGCGTACACAGAAACTATAGACAGATATGGAATGAACTGCAAACAAGTTATCCTGAAAACACTAGGCAGCGAAGGAAAAAGAGTGGGAGGTATAATTTTCATGATAAACTTTCTCATATAGCTCTGGAGTTCTGAGTATGTTGTCAGGAGGGGCCAGTCCCTGGAAAAGAGTATCAAGTTTTGAGTAGAGGTTCCGTTTTTTGTTTTTGTTTTTAAAAAAAGACTCTAAATAAATAAATAAATATAAAGGCAGACTCTCCCACGAGAACTGACAGGGTGCCTGCAGCGGTGATTCTGAGAGTGAGGCAAGACCCAACACTGCCTGAGTCCGTTGAACTGAAGCAAAACCACCTCGATGGCATGTGACAACAACAAATAAAATATTCAAAGAAAAACAATTTGGAAAAACTGCCTAACATTAAAATTTGGCGGATTATGTAACATCTAGCTCAGGTGATTTTTTTTTTTTCTTTTTTTGCTACCAGCAAATGTAAGATCCATGCCACGGCTGCAGTGAAGTCAGAGGGTACAACCTGAGCAAGTGTGCAGGAAACACCTGGGATTTACTACACATTTGATTTTGAATTACTTTTTATCATAGCTTGTTCCAAAACCTTTTACCGTTGCCAAATTGTTCACGGGCCCCACATTCAGTTACTTGATGCCTCCACAGTTTAAGAAGCTGTAGTTTAAGTTTAAGGGCCTATCCCACAGTCAACAGGCTGTGTTCTGATTGGTGGTACTGAGCTTCCTCATCCGATCTCTCCAGAGATGTAGTTGATTCAATTCATGTGTGTTATATCCTGTAAGAGCCACATGCATGGTCACTGTGTTATTGGGAAAGGGTATTTGTAATGAATAAATTGCTAGACTTCCAAAATTTTATCATGTAGACTCCAGTCTCCTTTTTTTGTTTTTGTTTTGTTTTGTTTTTGTTGTTTTTTGTTGTTTTTCCAGTCTCCTTTTTATCGCTAAGTATTGACCCTTTTTTTTTCCAATTTCTGCATTCCAATCACCGATAATTATCAATGCATCTTAATTAGATCAATTTCAGACTTCAGAAGTTGGTGAAAATCTTCAGGCATTAGCGGTTGGTGCATGTATTTGAAAGGTATAATGAGGTCATTTTACAGATAAGAAAATTATGCTCAGAAAGGATAAATAACATGCCCAAAGTTACACAGAAGCAGCAAAATATGGCTTAACCATATCTTAGCTAAAAGTTTAGGTAGAGAGATTAATATCATTACTTTCCATAAAAAGAAAATTACATTTTCCAACATGTTTTCAAGTGATAGGAGCCACTAGAACTGGGGTTGGAAGGAGCTTTGATCTTGGTAGGTTAGTAGTGTGGAGAAGTGAAATGACTGAAATATGGCTCCTCTCTCCATCCTTTGTAACTCCTGACATTTGCCTGGCCGGCCCATGCAAACAAGGTTTGTGAAGCACTAATAGAAGGGACTGATCGGTTTGCCATTCCTCTGAGTATAAGAGAGCCGTTTCAGAAGCAGAAACAGAAATATTGCCATGACCACCAAGAAAGATGAACCACCAGTGGAGCACGTATGAGATCCCTGCCTAAAGGGGTCATGGCACTATGCGACAGGACAGGAGTCTTGCTGAAACAGGCGCTGCACTGCTGGGGCCATGCATCTGTGAGGCAATTGACAGGAGGGCTTCCTGACTCACAGAGGCAGAGGCCAAGGGACCACAAGACTGAGAAACACTGCTGGTTGGTGTCGGAATAGGGCAATAGAAGAATGGAGATGGGAGGTATGTCTGAACTCAGCCCGATGGCAGTCAGCCTTGGGCTGGTGTCAGGTAAAGCCAGAGATCAGCACTGGCCTCACACCATTTTCTCAAGTAGGTTAAAGTATTCAGTGGTTCAAACTCACCAGCTGCTCGATGAGAGAGAGATGAGGCTGTTTGCTCCCATAGAGATTTACAGTGTCATAAACCCTAAGGAGCAGTCCTACCCTGACATACGGGGTTCCTGTGAGTTGCGCTTTGAAGGGTACACTCTAGATTGCTTCAGGAAATGTTTCCCTTGCTGCCCCATTCCCAGTACCTTACCCCTTGATTGTACTAAGATTAATTAAGCACACACCAAGTGGTGCTTCCCCGCTATTCTTCCTCCCTACTCTAACACTCACCTAAGTCCTGATATTCTGTCTCTGATGTCCTTCCGAAGTCTCAGGAAAGGGGGCTGAAATAAAACCCTTGGCCCATATCTTATGGAGCTTTGTTTTAATTGATTCATTCAAATATCTACTAAAAATAAATTAAAGTGTCAGGTAGTAGGGATAATACAGTTAACAAGGCACAAGGCCATCCCTATTCCCAAGGATAATCCAGAGGACCCAGAATCTTAGTACCATGACAAAAGGCCCACCTCTTCCAACTCTTCATCATGGCTGAAAATGTCATGATTTGTGTATTTTTAAATACATGTCTATTAAAATTTAACTGTAAATTTAATGATTCCAGATCCCAAAGACAAAATCGGCTACACAAAGACACTGATAATAACTGGCAATACCAACCTTTAAAAAACTCAGGAAGGGGAGAGGGTATTCAACTTATATCAGCATGGATTTACACAGCCAGTAATCGAAACAGAATCCTGTCCTTAGGAACTACTTGTACTTTGCTTTTCTCCAACTACAGGGGGGTTGTGTGTGTGTGTGTGTGTGTGTGTGTGTGTGTGTGTGTGTAATTTCCCATGTCTATAGCAGCCCGAGGGTGTCCTTGCCTATGAATTTCCTGGTCCTGTCCTTTTTCTCTATTGTTTAGTTTTTCATGTCTGTGCATTGATTGTCATCTCTAGTGAAATGCCATGAAAATATTCTTTTCTTTCACGTATGACAGATCTGTATCTTACATTTAAGTAAAATTTGTTAAACGTTTTACTTTTGTCATTAGGTTTTTTACGATTAGTGGCATAAGCAAATACAAAGGAATGTTGCTATATGTTCTCCACCGCTACTAAAACATGTTCAAATTTAACTCAAATTTGTTAAGATCTTCTTCACGTACAAAGCAGCCTCTTCCAACACTAGAATAAAAGATGGCTTTCCCAAACGCCAGATCTTTTTTGCTGAACTGTATGCTTAAGATCTGAGCTAGACAGAACGCCTGGGAAATACTCAGAGGGTCTCATGGCAGTAGCCCCAGCCTGACATTAGTGTTCATGTAAAGAATGGTGTACAATACAGAACTCTAACAAATCTCAACATGGTTAGCTCATAAAATTCTTTATGCTTCAATTAAACTGAGGAGCCCAGGTAACAAACATCTAATTCTATATAGGAAAAAGCTATGTTATCCTAGGTTAAACTAGTATCTTATTTCATTCCAAGTAACATCATGGTGATAGTCTTAAAACAATTAAAAGAGCACAATCATCCAACAGTAGAACAGCGAGGTCTCTGCTAAAGTGTCCCAGCCTCACAAGCACTTATTATACCTGAAGGGAAGGTAGGGGGGGTTTGACCCAGAGAGGAGTAGTCTGTAGGCTTCTTCGGGAGTCTTCTTTAGATAGATTACCTACGAGAGATAAATGGCAAAATTTAGACGACCACCACAAAATGACACTCACTCACTCACTTCACTACTCTCTTAATTTACACATCAGGTCTTCTGCTTTCTGTGAGAATTTTTACAGCAGTGACGCAGACTGGCATTTAGTTTCCTTTTCAGTTTGAAGCTGAATAGCAGCCTTTGGTTTAAAGACGGGGTAAGGGCTCCAAACAGAAGACAGTCATAAAAAGGCCGGCCAGAGGCTGGTGACAAGGATGCCCTGACCAGACACAATCACAGGGAGAAGAGAGCGGCCTAACTCGACCTCTGTTGTGATACCAGGTGATCACCAAGGCCCAAAGCAGGCCTCCTGGTCCCTCGTGAAAGATCTGCAGTGAAGTACTTCAGTGCCTCGTGAAATCTGAGCACATGTATATCCTATGAGCACAAGTCCCCCTGGGAGGCCTTTTGTGCTGCTCCCTCGAAGCTCAATAAAATCACGACGAAACAGGGGACGATGAGTACAGATACGAAAGAGCTGGAACCCAGCTTGGCGTGGCTCTTGATATCACAGATACATAATCCCTCTGGTCCAGCAGGACAATGAACTAACCCGAACCTTAAGCTCTTCAAACAAGTACAAAATTTCTATTTAACCAACAAATAATTGGGGCCATAGAGTATATGCCAGACACTGTATTAGGTACTTAATGAAATTTATAGTCTAGTAAGGCAAAGACAGTAATTAATGGAAACAAATACAAGGGTAAGTCAAAAAAGTACTGTCAGAAAATCAGAGAAACCTTTATTAAACACAAATCTCAACATGTGAAGCTACTGGCTTTTGATACACTTCCGTCTAGGTCAATACACTTCTGAAGGCTGTTTCCATAGCTCTAGTCTTTCCCCATAGAATCCTGCACACTTTCATTTCTACCACGTCAAAACACCAATTTTAACAGCCTCCAGGGACTAAAATGGTGTTCCTTTGAAAGGTTCTTTGAGTTTGGGGAACAAGAAGTCGGCACAAGTAAGATCAGACTGTAGGGTGCATGGGGTAAAGCGGCCATCTAGCTCAGAAGCAACAAAGCCCACATGGAACAACATATCAGCCTGTGTGATCAC